GCCCACCATAGCTTAGTGTCCCTCTTGTTAGCCCACAGAACACCCACCATCCTGTTATCTTTTGCAAATTCTTCTTCATAGAAGTTGTTTTCCACTTTCACATGCCACCACATTTGTGCAGCACCAATTTCCAATGCCAATAGCGTTGATCCAATGGTAACAAGACGGGTGTCACCATATGCTAGCCCCATCAATGCAGCTGAATAGTAACCATTGGTTGCTTCACTTGTACTTTCCTGATTCCTTCCATCCGCATATTCAGTCAACCCTGCAGCCCAAGAGTGCAACTTGTAAAAGTCAAAACACCTTAAACGTGGATAATCCGAGTCATATCTTTGGCCCAAGTTCATAAAATCTGTCACAAGTGAATAAGCTTGTGGTTTGTATTTTTGTCCCCACGTAGGGTCAATCTTTGCAAGAACAGCAATTCCATAAAGGAAATACCCCAAATGGAAATGATGATCATTATAAATTCCAAACCCAAAATCAGCCGTTGAATCCGTTGACCCTTGTTCAGTGACTAGTCCACCCCATTTTCTTTCATATAAAAAACCATTCCCTTTGAAAGTTCCATCCAACCAAGGCTCAATAGTCTCCTTCAGAAACTGACTTATTGCGGGAATCACGTTGGAAAAAGACACTTCTTCCGCTATCAATGCCAACCTTGCAGCTCTTGCAACAAGCTTCCCATAGAAATAAGATGATTTTGTAGTTATTGAAGAATAATTCAGCTCCTTCACATCTTCAGAAAGCGCTGTCACAATCTCATCACGTGACTCTTTGACACCTTTGTTAGAATGCCATGCTACAGGTACATGATCCGTTTCCAACACCCATGAATCTCCAACAACGCCAACAAGATCACCATCAACGCTTCTATACTTCAAATCATGCAGAACAGTAATACCACCATGATCACTGTATAGAAGCTTAACATGGAGAGGGTGAGCTAGCATGAGCAAGTCCCCAGAACCATTCTTTTCCCATTCATATACTACACGGAATGGATCTTCGATTGTTGCATTCCCCGAGAGAGGGTAACAAGAACTGAACTTGTCTAGAATTTCCTCATACTTAGAATCAGGCAACACTGCTATGCGAATTATGCCAGAAAATGACTTGGATGTAACCTCAGAAGAACCATGGTTGAGATAGATAGGGGAAGAGGCGTATAAGAGCCATGTCTCAGTGTTGTTAAGCTGAAGGGTGTGCTTAGTGTTGTCATCATTGGAAGACAAAGAAACTATGTTATGCACTGTTGTGATGGAAAGAGATGTTGGCTTTGTGACAGAAGCAGTTAGATAAGGGCTTCCTCTGACAAGAAAGAATCTGAGGTTGGATGAGGGAATGTCCAAAGTGACACCAAGGTCACTGTAAGATGATATTACATGGTTTTGTTGATGGGAATATGTATGAGTCTTTTGGGTGGAAGAGATGGTGAGATCTGGCACAAAAACTTGGTACAAAACTGCTGCGGAAAAGAAGAGAAGAGGGTAGGAAGCGGAGAGAGAGGAGTTCGAGGTTTTGATGAGGTAAGGGTGAATGTACTCTGGTTGGGACCCATTTTGGAGAACAAAGTTTTGGAAGAAAGAGTTTGTGGGAAGTGGAGATGAGAGAAGGTTTTGGGAGATGAAGTTTGAAGGGTCTGGAAGAACTGTGGATTGAGTGTGTGGGAAGAGAAAAGAAGAAGAAGACATTGTTTGAGATTGATGAAAAGAGGAGGGGATGAGAATTGTGATCTGCTACAATTTTGTTTGGTGTTGGCCTCTTATATGATCGAAGAGATTGTATACAGCAGGAGGAATGTTGGCCTCAGAATAAGTGTTTTTTACATTCTAAATTTTATAATTATTTTATTCCAATTATGCTCGTAAAGAACTTTTATACTATTATCTAATTATAAATTATAAATTATCGTATATAATTAACATAAAAAATATTAATTTTCAAGATAATTAATACAAAAATGATATATTCATTATATTCTTATCGATTCAAAGTGTAAAAATCTTTATTTGAATAGTATATGAAAATTATTTTTTTTAATGTATCTTTAGATAAATTTTTATTAAAAACTTCTAGATATCATGTAAATTAATGTATATTTTATTTTAGAATAATGTAACATCTTTTTACTATTTATTATTTTGAATTGTTATTATTTTATTAAATATGGTTATGAATATATTTAATTTTATCTTCATTAAATAAATAAAAAGAATTTATAAAATATTAATTTTTATTCTATTTATTTTTGTTCTCTTCTCTTCCTTTCCTTATTTTATCATGTTACTTGGCTAATATATCTTATTTTCTTTTCTTTCTTATTAGATTTTCATTAGAAAGTTGAGAAGTAGATATTTGCTTTAATTAGTTAGAGATAAATATTAGAAAGTAGATAATTGGTGTAATTAGTTAGAGATAATTATAGATAGATATTGAAAAGATTGACATATATTTGGTAAGTTAGAATATTATGTTGCCTTAAAATTCGTATGTAAGGTTGTTATCTACACTTTTATTTTGCGTCTCTTTCAAGAAAGTTATAATTAATTCGATTTTGAGTCTTCTTTTCTTGCCTGTCTTTTTTCTACCAACAAGAGGGATGTCTCATTTTTCTTAGAATAATGCTTCTCCCATTTTCTGTGTTGCATCACATTCAATTGTTTACTTAATAATAATAGAATTTTTTACTCTAATTTTAAACTCTCTTTATGGTGATTCTCTCTTTCTTTAAAGATAATAACATAAACATTACTTTTTTTTTATCTATGCTTTAAATGCATAGATTAAGAATATATTTTCTTTTAAGTATTTTACATTACTTAAAAACATTAAATAATTTTTGTATGTTTAACATAATAAATATTTTTAATATAAATATTTTATCGTATTTCCTTTACTATATACTTTTTACACTAATCTTACACTTTTTTTTGTGATTTATTCAAAATTATCTCAATTGCCTAAATGATATAAAAGAAAATAATAAGATTGAAGTGTAATCAGATGATAGGGTTGAAAAGTGTGTAATATTATTTATTATTCTATTCGTAAGAATAACCATCAATATTTTTTTCTAAATATGAAAAAAATTATTTTTAATACATTAATTATTAATATTTTTTATAAAATTATTTATTATAAGATTTGTGTTAAAAAGATATTTTTTATGAAAATTGATACATTCATTCATTTAATATATAATATAATAATTTGATTAATTTAATAATATAAGTATCTTTTAGTGGAGTATAAATTTATGATATATAATTATTATTTTTTATTAATTTTAATGAATGAAAATTTTATTTCTTATAAATAGAAACAATTTAAATTTTTTATTCAAATGATGCAAAATATTTTTAATGAATTATTGACCGCATAAATACATTTATAACTCACTTTTAATCTTTTTATCTGTTATTTAAAGCTATAACATGTTGTTTAAGAAAAATAATTAATTTTATGTTTATATTAAAATTAGTTGTAATTTATTAATATGACTTTATCCTTTTCATTTATTACTATTTTTCTCTTTTCTAATGAAATAATAATTTTTTGATAAAGAGTAAAAAAATTTCTAATGAATATATAGTAATTATTACTATTTTAAAATAGAATATAAATAAATACCATTCTTCATTTATTAATTTTGAATCTGCTGGCAGTTTATTTGGAGGACATCGATGATTAATTGTATATTATTGCAACCAGGGGCAGAGCATGTGTCCATTTCCAAGTTAAGTAAAATTCCAACAGTGTAACAGAAACTTTTTCTTTGCATAAGTTGCATTGTTTAATTTATTTATTTATTGTCTAGCTTGTACGATAAATTCGTATTTAATTATGCTTTATTTTTATCTATATGTTTGAAAAGAGAAAAAATTACGAATTAAAGAGTTTATTTTATTTCAATTAATTAATGAACTTTTTAATTTTTTCTGAATTAATTGGTCACTTTGTGACTTTTAAGTTACTCAACTAGTGTTTGTTTTATTTATTTATATGAATAAAAAGGTATCAATAAAAAATTATCAATTAATATTATTTTAACTTTTTACATAAACAAATATATAGAAATAAAAGTAATCTGTTTTGAACCAATAAAAAAGAATGAAGGTAGTATAACACATAACATAACATTGTCATATACTATACCTACTTTATTTTTTTTATAAAAAAATAATAAGTAATATTTTTTGTCTTGACTATAAGAAATGTTTGCTCATCTTTTGAAACATTAATCAATAAATTATTTTTATATCTTTAGTTTATTATGAGATGTATGTTAAAAAAAATGCGTTCATTCCTTGTTAAGCTATTTTATACTGTGGATATTTGAAATACCTATTTATATTTCTTATAAAAAAAATTATCAGAGTTAGTATGTTATTATGTTAAAGTTAAAATATTATGTAGTAGAATTTAAGAATTTTAAGTTAGATCTAATTTGTTGAGACTAATAACATTGTACAGTTAGAGAGAAGTAAATTTCGGATTGTAGACATATTTTGCTGGCTTTAAGTTTGTTTATTATTTGTGTTTGTTTAGTTTAAATTTTGAAATAATTAATTTTGATTAACTAATATAAAAAAGTTGAATGTGAGGAAGATGTGTATTTAAATTAACTAAATTAGATATTTTCATTAAAACGTATATTTGTAATTTGAAAATATGAAAATTAATTTTTGAACTGTAAAAAGCTGTGTCTATTGGGAACCTGAGAGCTAAGTTTGTGGTTGGTGCATGTCATAGGCTCCTTTGTAGAATGAAAGCCGAAAAGAAAGAAAAAAAAGAAGATTGATGCCGTTCAACATAATTCATGCATTGTGCTGCGGTCAATTTGAACCGATCATCACGTTACGAATTTGCAAATGGTTTGCGCTCCATTTGCAGAAGATCTCGGTAGTATTGCACAACACAAGGAGTTGTAGTATGGTGGCAGACAAGTTTTAGTTGTTTGGATAAGTAGGATTTAAATAATCAAATAAATCTAAATCTGGATCTGAATATTTATTGATAAAAATTTATAAGTGATGCATGATATTATAAGTGATACAAATAAGCTATTTTTCTTAATAATGTACCATAAAAGCCTCGAATTTAATCATCTTAAATTGTTTTACACGTCCTACTTAAGTACGTGTTTGCATGTTAAACACAAAAGCTCGGTTTTATAGCATCCACTATAGATATAACACACTTCTGAACACACGCTAAGTCTGATACTTTTAAGAAAATCCCATCAGCAGAATACAAAACCCACGTAATCTACTGCAGAAGCCATTAAAAAAAAGTTTCGGGAATCTGATTCTATTCTATGATTTTATTGAACAAATCAAACTGGAATAGACAAGTATGGCGCTGGACATCAAATATCTGCATTCTTCTGCAGAGTCATCACCAAGCCCCCTAATCTAATGAGGAAAAGAGCATCGAAAATTGGGGGCACAACTATATTACAATGTACAGGGTAGGTAGGAAGGGGAGGGGGGGATTAAGTACAATTTCCAACTCAACCTAAGGGCAGTCCAGAAAAAAGGACTCAATGCTGAATCACAAATTACAATATTTCTAAGATTAATATGTCAAACTAGCACAGCCTCACCAGCATGGCTAGCATGATGGCGGTTGAAGTTGCTTAAGCCGCCGTACAACATGTTTCATTGAAGGTCTGGTAGAGAGAGAGTCAACCGTACACACAACAGCCAAGTGTAGGACCTCTACCAAATCATCTGCAGGCCCAGCTTCCCATAAGCCGGTGGCGAAAAAGTCCTTTGCCTTGCCTTCCCTCAGTTGCATGCATGCCCATGCTACTATGTTGAAACCATTCCCGTATGAAGAAAATGAAGGATCCAATGCCTTCTTGTCAGAGAGTAACTCTAGAAGCACCACACCATAGCTGTACACATCAGCCTTGTCGGAAACACGGCAAGTCATGGCATATTCAGGAGCCACATAACCAAACGTACCTGCTACACCAGTGGTAGCGTGGGTTTCTGAGGTTCCCAGAAGTCTAGCCAATCCAAAGTCAGACAGATAAGCATTATAATCATCATCTAACAAGATATTACTGGGCTTGACATCCCGATGAAGAACCCGCGGCACACACTGATCATGAAGGTATGCAAGTGCACGGGCTATATCCAATGCAATCTTGTGAAGAATTCTCCAATCCACAAACCTTGTGGACCTCTCTTGGATAAACTTCTCCAGATTACCACCTGGCAAATAGTTGTATATGAGAAACATCTCAGTCTCGCTAGCATGATAACCAATCAGAGTGACAAGATTTGGATGACGAAGCCTTCCAAGGGTCTTAATCTCAGCATGAAATTGTTGAACACCTTGGCATCGCCCAACTGCCAGACGCTTTATTGCCACCAAGTTTCCTGGTGATATCTCAGCCTTATAGGTTGCCCCAAATCCCCCATTCCCAATGCAGTTGCTTGTATTGAAATTTCCTGTGGCACGGACAACATTTTCAAATGTCAATGGGACCCCAATATCAGTAAACACAGTGACTTCTTTTCTGGTAGACCCAATAACCCTGGACCTTGGGTTCCACTTCCGTGTATAAATGAAAAGGATAATTAGGGCTAGAAGAACAGAAACAATGGCTGATGCAGAAGTTATAGACGCTATTTCAATAGAATTGAAACCATTCCCGCCCTTTCTGCTGGTGGCTTCTGGGGGTGCAGCAGTATCAGAATTAGAATTATCAAGCACTTGATCTGTTGATGGAACAGCAAGAGAAACTCCATTGCAAGAACGTAAAAATGGATTCCCAACAGCACTGCTGCATTTTATTGAATTACTATTTGAAGGCAAAGATCCAGATAAGTTATTGAATGACACATTAAATGCTGACAGTGTAGTAACATTTGCCAAACCAGTAGGAATTTGTCCAGAAAGTTTGTTATTATTGAGCAAAACATCAGACAGATTTTTCAAGTTCTCAATACCTTCCGGAATTTCACCAGTAAGAGAGTTTGAAGAAAGGTCCAAGACTTCTAGAGAATACAGCTGCTTAAAGCTGGAAGGGATGGAGCCACTCATGTTATTATCCGCCAAAGAGAGAAACTTCAGATTCTTCAACTGGCCAAGGGTGATGGGAATCTGACCTTGTAAACGGTTCTGACTAAGATTCAGAGAAACAAGAGAGATCATGTCCCCCAAACCAAGGGGGATTGGCCCAGTAATCTGATTACCAGATGCATCCAAGAACTTTAATGATCGGCACATTCCACCAAACTTGGAAGGAATCTGACCCGATAACATGGTATAACTCACATTTAAAAGCAATGCATTTAATCCATCACACTTCTCAAATAAATTTGTAGGAAATGGTCCTGTCAACTTGTTTTCTCCAACAAGAATTGCGTAAACCAACCCCTTTCCCAGCCGGTCGCGTGCTATTGGCAACGACTCCATGCTAATGAAGTTGTTTTGGCCAAAATTGTGAATAACGGAACGGCCAACTTCCCCAAGTGACAACAAAGGGGGGCTTCCAAGAACCTTTGATGCAAAAAAGGATTCATATGGAAGGGCTCTATCATCGGTTTCAAACAGATTTCCATTCCAGGAAGGAACTGAATTACACGCACTAACAGAGAATTCAGGAATTGGTCCAGATAAGACATTCCCACTAACATCAAACACAGTCATACAGGGAACAGTAAGTTCTTCAGCAAGCTTTCCTGTAAGGTTGTTTGAGCTTAAATCAAGAAATTGGAGCTTCTTGCAGCGACTAAGCTGATTAGGAAAATCCCCAGTGAAATCATTTTGAGCCAAGTTGAGCATCTCCAAGTTATCACATGCGCCCCAACCACTTGGAAAACTATCTTCCAGATTTGCCCTAGGCGCCCACAGTACTTTCAGCTTAGGAAGGCTCATAATTTCCACAGCAATGGGACCTTCAAAATAATTATACTCATCATTTATAGAAACCAGCTGCTCCATCCCCAGGTCCCTGCCCGTACCATTGACGTTCGGAAGTGGATTAAAAAGATTGGACAGAACAAGTACTGACAAATCTATACAATTCCCAAGCTCCCGGGGCACTGAACTGCCAAGTGTATTCCTAGAAACATCCAACACCTCGAGCTTCTTAAGCTTACCAAGCTCAGCAGGAATAGCATCTTCCAATATATTCGAATACAGCAAAAGGGTCCTCAACCCACTACAATTCCCCAAACTCCCTGGAATCCCTTGAACCAAGAAATTGCCAGACAAATCAAGATGCTCCAGCCTGCCACAATCATCCCCTATCTCCTGAGGAATAGTCCCACCAAGCAGGTTAAAAGACAAATACACCCCTCTAAGCCTACCAACAAAACCAGGAACAGACCCATTAATGCCATTTCCAGCCAAATTCAGAACCTGCAAAGTTGCAACACTTGACAGTGAACTCGGTATCTCGCCAACAATTCTATTAAACCCTAGATTAAGAACCCTCAAATTCCTCAACCCACTAAACCGAACAGGGAGAAACCCAGTTATCAAATTACCCTCGAGATCAAGAACCTCCAACCTGTCCATGCCCCAAATTTCACCAGGAATCTCACCCACCAGACCGTTGAAGGGAAGGGATAAAACCCTAAGTTCGGTGAGCTCACTGAACAAAGGTGAAACCTTCCCAAACAATGCACCTCGAAAACCCTCGCAGCTCCTCCTAATTCCAAAACCGTAAAGGGGAAATTGAGCGAAATCAGAACACGGAGAAGGGGGTTTTCGGTTACCTCCGTTGCCAGTGACGTTGATCGCGACGACACGGCGCGTGGTTGAGTCGCAGAGGACACCGAACCAGTGACAGTGGTCGGAACCGTTCCAGTTGGAGAGCAAACCCGAAGGATCGGAGAGCGAGTTCTTGAGCTGAAGCAGCACTGATTTGTCGGAATCGGCCAAAACGGCATCGTTGAGAGAGTGGGTGAAGACCCATAAGAGAGTGAAGAGGTGCAGAAGGGTCATGGGTTTATGAAAGAACCTCCATTTGACGACTAAATTAGAAGAAGAAAACATCTCAGAAAGCTTCGAGCTTTGTTGTTCCCCTTTCAGTTGCAGCAGGCAAAAGAAAAGGGTTTTCTGAAAACCCTAACCCTAATTTTCCCTGCTTGAAATTGAGGAAACCAGAGAGAGAAAGTGAGTTGCGGTGAAGAGAGAGAAGATTCAGCTGTCTTCTTTTTCAGAATACGCGTTTTTCTTCTTCCATTCTCTTTTGGATTTTGACTTTTTAAGACTCACATTCTCTCGAATTCATTTTATATCATTTCTTCTTCTTTTCTTTATTATTATTTTTTCTTCTTCTTATCGCATACTATTAGTTTATTACATGTTTTCTTCTTTTTTTTTTTTACTAGAAAGGTGACCAATGTAGAAATAAATTATTATATTATAATATAATATTATAATTAATAATTATAAAATAAATAATAATTGTATAAAATATTTATAATAATATTTAAATTATTTTAAAATTTAAAATTAATTAATATATATTATTAATAATAAAATTATTTTATATATTATATTAAGATTTATAATATATTTTTAAATATTTGTAAATTTATTTTAAAAGTAAAAAAATTAAAATTAAATATTATTTTAATTTATAAAATTATAAATTTAATTCTATAAAGTTTAAAAATACTCTTATAATTAATTTGTAATAATGTAGCATATATTCATACATACCACAATATAAAGATTCATAATAAAAAATAAATTTTAATATATTTAAATTTTTTAAGATAAAAATTATTAAAAAATATAATTATATATCTTATTTATTTTACAAAATTATTTAACACACAATTTAAAGATAAAAAATATTAATTTTTTTATTAAATAAGTCTATTTTATGTTTTTAAAACCACTATTATGTATTATAATTTAAATTCTTATTATTAAATTATATATTTATCGCTTAACTTGTTATTTTAAAATATAAAATATTTCATATATTGTATTCAAACTTACAATATATTAAAAATATATTTTGTAAAATTAAAACTATTGAAAGATTAAAATAAATATTAATTATATTTATAAATACTAAAAACATATTTTATCTTACAAAATTATATAACACATAATTAAGGAATAAAAAATATTAATTCTTTTATGCCTAATAAATATATTTGTGCAGTGCACGAATTTGCATATGTATATAATATAATATAAAATTAATTATTTTTAATATAACAAAAACATAAAAAATATTAAATGAAACTTTTGATTGTTTTTTAAAATAAATTATCTATAAAAAATAAATATAACAGTTAAAACTAATTTATATGTAACTTTAAACATTATAAATGTTATTAATAATAATTTAATTATAAATTAGTAAATATATTTATATATCACAAAAATTTATTTATATTGTATATTAAATTATTTTATTTTAAAATAAAAAATTATAATTTAAATATAGAAAAATATAATAATAAAATTATATTATATTTAATAATATGAAATATAAATAGATTAAAAAATATAATAAATAAATTTTCATATACAAATTATGAGTTTTCAAGAATAAAATTTAAAGTAAATCATTAATATTAAAATTTAAAATTGCATTTAACTTCTAATTAGAAAAGAGGTGCCCCAAACGATGCACCTCTTAAATATATCAAATTTATTAATTAGAAATGTATCATTTAACATATTTGAATTAAATTATTCAAAGCGACTTTAAACTTTGCAAGAATAAATGTATTAATATATTAATACTAAAGTTACAAAAAAAAAAAAAGGTAAATATGTTAATTTCACTAATATAACCTGACTAATTTAAGGAATATATTTTACAATGATAATGAAAGACTTAAATCAAAGTGTGCTAAGAATTTTTCTAAAAGAATTTAAAAGTTAAATTTATATATTCAAAATTTTGTACACTCACATAACATTGATAAAAAATATCATGGTTCAGATATATTAAAATATCAACAAATAGCTTTATAACTAGACTTAAAAAAAAAGTCACATATAAATAAATAAAAAATTAAATCCATAAAATTAAACATTTAACTCTTTCTTAATGATAACTTTTTTCAAAGTCTTAATTCTTGGATCTTGTATTTGTAATTCATCAACAACTGATAAACTATCTTTATTCAATTCCATCTTATAAGATTGTTTAGCACTAGGAGCTACTTCAAGAGAAACTATTTAGGAATCCTAATACAATTTAAATTATAATCAATATTTAAATCAATACTTTTTAAAATATTACTCATTTTAAGTCAATTCATTTACTACCTTCGTAATGTTAATTATTTGCTTATCTTTAACATTGTTCATGGTTAAGTCAACATCTTCATTCAAAGTCTTCATACATCAAACATAATACAATTCTTTTTAGAAATTTGACAATAAATAAATTTATCAATTAAAATTTCATTTCAATTTGAAGACAATTAAATTTATTTAAAATAAATTATAACCTTCAAATTGTTAGCAATTTGAGTTGACAAAATGTCCTTCGAATTTTCTTCTACTTCATCATCGTTTCACTAATATGTAAGATTTAATTATTTTATTTTGAAATCAAATTTGACACCTTTATTTCAATTATTAATAGTTTTAAAAATGTAACTTAATATTATGCAATGACTTAAACTGGTCAATTAGATCAACACTATCAGCAAGTCTTTTAATGAAACCCAATTGGCATATAGATTTAAAAATTAATTATCTGCATTTCACTTTATTATTTCAATACAAAATATATATAATTTGTCTCAATTATTTCATATATGGTCATACTTTGAGTTTAGAGCAAATTATCTTCCATTAAAACAAAAGAGTACCCAGACATCTGTCTTAATACTTAACTTATACATGCATCATTCATATTCATCCTATACCACAAATTGGATAGCTTATAAGTTAACAAAAATAAGAAACATCATACAAAATATAAGGATGTCTCTATAAATAAAAAATAATTAAAATACTTACTTATTTTTGTAATCAATAGTCTCTTTTATGTTAGGATTAATATACAACTTTGTCCCATTATAAGCATTTGATATGCCTAAAGTTTCTAAAACAATCATGAAATATAATTCGTTGATAAAAATAACTATCACACAATTAAAAATAGTTCAATATAGATAAAGAATCATATTACCAAATATTTTCATTTTACAAAATTGAATAACCATAATAGGTAAAACATTAGAATTTTTATTCTTTAGAAAATTAACTATTTGATCAACAAACTTCTCTCATAAAGTGCAAACAATTCTTTTATTCCTACGAAACAAATTTAATATAATATAACCTTAATTAGTATAAAGTAATGAAAGGACGAAAATATTAAACAAATATTTTAGTCATTAAAATATGTTATAAAATAATACTCACTCTAAGTCTTCAAGAATCAAATCAATATGTTTGCTTTTCTTTTCATTTTTTTCTATGTCTTTGAGATTATCTTTCTCAACCACATGAGCAATGACATCTAATTGAACATGTGTCAAACATTATTTTAAAATAATAAAGTAGCGTACATGGATAAATATGAAAGCAATTAAAATTTAAAAACAAAAACAAAACTTACTAATTATATATAGTTCATCTAGCCACTTAAAATTTTTGAGAATGAAACAAAATCAAAACGGTTAAAAGATATGTTATCACATTTGATTTCTAAAACTCTGGTGGTTACCATCAAACTTAATTTCCATTTGTGTTTAATTATTCGTATTTTCTTTTTAAGAGTAATTACAATAAAAATTTTTATGTTATACACATTGCCTTCATAGAATAGTTTTCCATAATGTGATATAATATTATTCCTAATAACACAATAAATCCTTGAATTCTGAAATAAAGAGAGAACATGAAGAAAATAAATTAATTAAATAATAAGAAAATTTTATGCATTTCGACTAAAGAAATTTAAAAGCTTAACCTTTTTATCGACTAAAATTATGTTCATACTATTGACTTGAGTTTTATTTTGAAACTCACGAGAAAAATACAAATGAATGATCCGAACCATTATCTTTTCATCCACCTTTCCAGGTTATATTTGAGAAAGCATTGAAATAGAAATCGCCATTTTGGAATAAGTTTAGTTCAAAATTTTATTTCAAACAAACAACTTATATTTTTCCTTATTTATACCAACTAAAATACACTTTCTTTCTCATTTTAAGATATTTTTTTACTTATTTTTGTTTTTATTTTTACAATAAACTTAATTTAAAGTTAAAGAGTTTTATATAATTTTATCAATTATCAATTTCTAATAATAAAATTTAAAATAAACATTAATATTAAGGTTCAAATATGTCATAAACGATGCACCTCTTGAATATATAAAAACTGCTAATTAGAAATGAATGCATTTAAATGATTTAAATTAAACCATTCAAAATGGCTTATATTAAAACTGCAAATTAGAAATGAATGTATTTAATTGATTTGAATTAAATCATAATAACCATTCAAGACGGTCTTAAAGGTAAAGATATATCAAAATTGCTAATTATAAATAAATGGATTTAACTGATTTGAATTAAATCATTTAAAATGGTGTTAAATATTAATTAATTATTATATAAAGATTATTATGTTAAAGAATGATGACAAATTTTACTCCAAAACTCATATACTTTTATATATATAAAAATAAAGATTCTTCTACCCTTTTATTTTTTTATTTTTTTTCTCCTCTTGTTTACTTCACACTTTACTATAGGAGTAAAATTAGTACTGCCTTCTCTCTCTTTTTTATTTTTTTTGTTTCTTTTCCTTTAGCTTAGGAAGAGAAACTTTTGTGACTTCTTTTAATATAATGAGTAATAATTTAAGATTTGTTTTTCTAAAAAAAAGGAAAATTAAGATTTTTTTTCTAAAAAAAAAAAGAAAACAATTCTCTAATGTATAAGGACTACTCTCACTCCAATTTTTTTATGTTATGTTGTTCTAACTTTTTATAATTCTGATTTTTAAAATATTATTTAAAATTTTAAATCTTTATTTAATTATTATTTTGTATTTATGTCCTCATTTAATGTATGAAGTTATAAATGAATAAAATAGTTTCAGTTACAAATGAGCTAATTTAATCAAAATATAATAATATACTACATTAATTGAAACTTTCTTAGTTTAATAGCAAAATTTTAAACAATATAATATAAAAATGGAAGGAGTATTTGAATATATAATTAATTTAAAATAAATAAATTTAAAAAAATTTAAAAAATTAATAATATATTTTTATTAT